AATTCTTGCTAACAGGTGTCCAATCCTCAAATTTTCAATTTATATAAATTTTTGTATATGAATCTTATAAAAAAGTTATTGAACTAAGAGAATATTTGATTAACGTTTAATTATATCAAAATAGTTTCATTTTTTTGCTATAAGATGGCGTCTTTCTAATAACGCTTGATCTAACCTCAATTGCAGAAATATATCTGTCAAAATTTTGAAACATTGATACCAAAATTGATATTAAAAAAAAAAAACTAAATATTATGTTATTCTATAAATTTCTGAAAGTATTACCAATTACATTCAAGTATCTCCAATTATTTCAAATTATTACCAATTATCTGCAAATATTTCCAAGTATTTGCATTTATCTCCATTATCACTAATTATATGGAATTATTTCCATGCATCACCAATTACCTCCAAGTATCTTCAAAGATGTCTAAATATCTTCAAGTATCTCCAAGTATTACCAAGTATATCAAAGTATTTCCAAATATATCCAAGTATCTTCAAATATTATCCATTACCTCTAAGTATATTTTAATATATCTAAGTATCTCTAAGAATTTTCAAGTATTACCAATTATATCCAAGTATCTTCACTAAATATCTTCAAAGATCTCCAAGTATCTCTAAAGTATTACCAATTACCTCCAAAGATCTCCTGATATCTCTAAGTATCTTCATATATCTTCAAGTATCAAATATCCTCAAAAATAATAATGAACCAACCAATCCAATTAATTTAATAATGAGTCTGAGATTTTAAGATATTTATTGATTTTCAATGTTAAATTTTGCACTGAAATGCAGGAATGGACTAGGCGAATCCGCAAAACCCGATATTTGCGGCCGATTACCAGAAATAATGTGAGAGCGTATTTAACCCCATTTACTGACTACACTCAGGGGAGTAGCAATTGCGGTGTAAGCTCCTAACTCTAATTAGGCACAGCCCATGACATTCCAGACCACATGCTGTGGATGGAGGTGGCACGATTACGATCATAATTCGGCATTAGTCTGCAAAATTGCTCTTTCTCACCGTTCGTAAATTACCAACATTAATTTCACAGACAAAGGAAAAAAAAAATCAAGAAAATGTAGCGCTGAAACCCATGTGTTTACTTGTTTATGCATTCCTCATTTATATATTTTTATAGTGAAATAAATGTAAATAATATGCGAAAGATAGAGAGACAAAAAAAAGGTTAAATAAATGAAGAGGATGGAGGAAGGAGTGAAACATGGTTTCATCCTTAGACTCTGGAAGCGTAACGAATGGATATTGTTACCATAAGCAAGTCTGCGGTGCAATAAAGCAAAAAAGAATGAGGAGAGAAGAATCATCATCAGGAGAGTACGTAATCACATTATGCAGAAATAAAAGGATGGGGACATAACGTGAGTGGAAAATGTTACTAAACACGTTCATCTAAGCACCTAAATGTGAATCTCTTGTTACTTTTACAGCTTTAAATAAAATATAATTATTGAATGTTTATGTGCTTTAGCACTATAAGTTAATTGGACACAACACCTCCCTTTTTCATATCAAAATATATCTTAATTTAATGTTTCCTTTTTCTAAGAATTCGTGATTTAGTAATAACTAATTACTTATAATGATGAACACAATCGTCATTTGGACACAGCACCTCCTTTTTTCATATTAAATATATACGAATTGAAATGTTTTGTATAAATTCATTCATGATAATAATGCAATTCCGTTACTAAAATTGATGGATACAACACTTCCCTTCTTCGTCTAAAAATATATGGATTGAAAATTGTTATTGTTTCATTTTCTCGAAAATAATTGGTCGCAAAACCACTTGAACTCCTTGAGCGATTCTCGAATGAGGATTTACTCACGAGTCACGAAGCATTTTATCAATTTGATTACCTTCAACATTTTCTTTTGAGTTATATGATTACCCTCCAGATGCATGCGGAAAAATGAAATTAAATTCCCCTTTGCGTATTCACAAAACATTCATACAACAATATAGCCAACAATACCAAACAAATAAGCTTACACAACAAAATTTAAAAGAAAATGAACTCCTTTATTCATATTATTTACATTTTTTTTATATGCAATTCGGAGAACTGAAATAATTGCGTTTTGTTTCGTTGCACAGAGGAGAACTCTTTGGAATTGTATGGAAAAAAAAGCGGGAATTAAAAAGTGGAAACTCGAAAACGGTTTTTAATTTGCGAAACATACGTTGTTGTTTCAGCATTTTGCAAAGTGCACTAGACGAAATCATTATCTCGCGCTAGCAGCGCGAACAGAAAAAAAAAACAATAACAACGAATTTAAAAACGCGTTCGCAGCTGCATCATAAAGGGATTTTTGCTGGTTCATATTTTATATGCGAAACACGTTTGCTTCGGTTTTAGTACGTAACAACATATGTGAACTAAATGATAGAGTTAGAAAATTAATGATAAAAAACTAGACATTACAATTATGAGATTATTTGATCGTTTTTTCTCACATTGACTAAATTTTCTGGTATATGTATACTTTTACCAATTTTATGAAAAAAATAATCAAACATTAACTTATTTTATCTAAATTTTAGTAAAATGAAAAAAAATGTAACTAATCAATATAATTTGTAATTTCACTAGGTCTATTGTTTTATGGTCAATTTAAGTAAACTTATGGTATGATTATGAAATTGATCCTCCAAGTTTGAAAATTGATTTGTTATTTTGAATAAAATTATTCAAAGTTCTATGTAATTTGAAGATCAACGGTGCTTTGATATAATATGGTATTCCACAAGGAAGTGTTCTTTACCTTATAACTTCCAATTTTGATAAATTTCTGTTTATATTAATGAATATGTAAAGTTTCTTATTAAATAATAATTGAAACAAAAAGTTCTGGTATAAAAATTCCTGGACATCCATAAATATCTCATAAGTACCCAAGTATTACCAATTATATACATGTATCTCCAAGTATTACCAATTATCTCCATTATCACTAATTATTTGCAAGTATCTCCAAGTATCACCAATTATCTCCAAATATCATCAAAAATGTCTAAATATCTTTGAGTATATCCAAATAATATCAATTTTATCAAAGTATTTCAAAAGATTTGTTATTTTGGAGTAAATTATTGAAAGTCCTATGATAATTTGAAGATCAACGGTGCTTTGATATAATATGGTATTCCATAAGGAAGTGTTCTTTAGCTTATAACTTTCAATTTTGATAAATTTCTGTTTATATTAATGTATATGTAAAGTTTCTTATTAAATAAATAAAATATAATAGAAACAAAAAGTTCTGATATAAAAATTATTGGACATACACAAATATCTCATAAGTACCCAAGTATTACCAATTATATACATGTATCTCCAAGTATTACCAATTATCTCCATTATCACTAATTATTTGCAAGTATCTCCAAGTACCTCCAAGTATCATCAAAAATGTCTAAATATCTTCGATTATCTCCAAGTATTATTAATTATATCAAAGTATTTCCAAATATTTGTTATTTTGAAGTAAATTATTCAAAATCCTATGATAATTTGAAGATCAACGGTGCTTTGATATAATATGGTATTCCACAAGGAAGAGTTCTTTACCTTATAACTTGAAATTTTGACAAATTTCTATTTATATTAATGAAGAAATAAAGTTTCTTATTAAATAAATATAATAGAAACAAAAAGTTCTGGAATAAAAATTCCTGGACATTCACAAATATCTCATACCCAAGTATTACCAATTATCTACCAAGTATCTACCATTATTTCAAATTATTAGCAATTATCTCTAAGTATCTTCAATAATCTTTAATTCTTACCAATTATCTCCATTATCACTAATTATTTGCAAGTATCTCGAAGTATCACCAATTTCTTCCAAGTACCATCAAAAATGTCTAAATATCTTCGATTATCTCCAAGTATTAAAAATTATATCAAAGTATTTCCAAAGATTTGTTATTTTGAAGTAAATTATTCAAAGTCCTATGACAATTTCAAGATCAACGGTGCTTTGATATAATATGGTATTCCACAAGGAAAAGTTCTTTACCTTATAACTTGCAATTTTAATAAATTTATGTTTATATTAATGAATATGTAAAGTTTCTTATTAAATAAATAATATATAATAGAAACAAGAAGTTCTGGTATAAAAAATATTTTATAAAATCCACATCGATAAGGAATTTGTCTTGTCAATAAAGAATGGAAATTGAAGTCGACCTTCAGAAGTTCTATTTATAAATAAATAATTCATCGATGCGAAACCGTTGGGACATTGTACATTCGGCCCCGTTCGTTGCGTATTTCTTTCTATTAGTTATACTGACTTTTATTTGTTTTCCTTTCTTTGTAAACTAGACAACTAATCGCCGATCGTCTATTTTATTGGCGGGCGAAAAGGAGAAGCCGCGAACGAGGCAATAAATCACGAGCATTGTGTAAGGCGATGCACCCTCATCGAATATCGAATATTATTCATATTAATATTTGTAGTTTGGATAATAAATTACGTTCGCTTCGGATGGATGAGCTCCGTGGAAAATTATGGCTATAAGATGGGAAAAAGGGCAAAAAGAAAAATAATAATTTGAATTTAAAACATATATGATTGATTGATGGATGGTAGCTAGAACATGTTGTGTTTGTTTGATTATATAAGAATTTTTCTTGCGGAATATGCAGAAATATTGACAAATTTGGTTAGGTTATTAAAAGTTAGGTTAGTATGTTTGGTTAGGTTTTGTAGTTCATGACAGGTTAGATCAGATTAAGATATGATAAGGTTAGGGTAGCTATTGTTGTTCGTGTGTCGCTAATTTGAGGTTACGTTAACTTTTGTTGTTGATATGAGGTTAGGTTAGATTATGGTATCTTGTATTTTATGTAAGGTTAAGATGAGGATACGTTTGGTTACAATTGCAAATAGGTTAAGATTCTGGAATATATAAAGTATTAAACTATTGGTTTGTTTCAGGAAATAGTTGAATGAATTGGTCGAGATGAACGACACAGCAGTGAACGTAACGTGTCTGCCGGCAGGCCAATCAGCCGTCTTCATTTTCCAAGAGATCCTCTACGCCCTGATCTGCTTCATCGGTTTGGTGGGCAACACTCTGGTCATCTATGTAGTGCTCAGGTTCTCCAAGATGCAGACCGTAACGAACATGTACATAGTGAATCTGGCCATCGCCGATGAGCTCTTCCTCATCGGCATACCGTTCCTCATCGTGACGATCGTGAAGAGGTCCTGGATCTTCGGCGACATCGCCTGCAAAGCCTACCTAATCCTCACCAGCCTCAACCAATTCACAAGCAGTCTCTTCCTCTTCATCATGAGCGCAGATCGGTACATCGCCGTCTGCCATCCGATCTCTTCTCCGAAATGGAGAACTCCGTTCATCTCAAGAATCGTGTCCATGGCGGCGTGGCTCTGCAGTCTTCTCCTGATGATCCCAATCCTGCTCTTCGCCAAAGAAGTAACTTGGCATTGCCTAGATCCCAACAGCGATGAAATCATGGAATCCAAATCCTGCATCATCGACTGGCAAACTTCAAAGTCTCCGAAAGCCTTCACCCTATACACGTTCGTCTTCAGCTTCCTGATTCCTCTTTGCCTGATCTTGGTTTTCTACTGCTTGGTGCTTCGTAAATTGAAGACTGTCGGGCCGCAGAACAAAAGCAAGGAGAAGAAGAAGTCGCACAGGAAGGTCACCAATTTGGTTCTGACTGTTGTGACAGTTTACATCATCTGCTGGACTCCTTATTGGATACTGCAGATCACTCTGATCTTCTCTTCAAACACCGAATCCGGATCCTTCGTTCTTACCATCCATCTCCTTGCTTCGTGTCTGAATTACTCCAATTCCGCGATGAATCCCATACTCTACGCCTTCCTCTCCGATAACTTCAAGAAGAGCTTCCTCAAAGCCTGCACCTGCGCCGCCGGAAAAGACATCAACGCTACTCTTCACATGGAGAACAGCGTGTTTCCGAGAAGGAATAAGCAGGGGTCGACGAAATGTCGACAAGCCAGAGGCACCTCGATATGTCCTAACAACGATGACGAGTGTGACCTAGGTAAATACAACAACAAATTTGAAACCAATCTTGTCAATTATAAGTAAAAGCTATATCCAAATATAGTTGGTAAAAACTGGAATTGATTACATCATTGTTGATTGTCAACTTGACAGTTGACAATGTCAAGGTATAACCTATACCTATAAAAGTTTTCAGGTATTGTTTTTAATTGAAATTTCTTGACCAAATTCTGTTTTAATTCTCAAGATGTCCAAAGTATTACAAAGAGTCAAGCTCATGAAATCATGAAAGTTTTGTCAACTTTTCTCCAAAATGCAACATAAAGTTCAACATATTAAACTATTAATATCTAATTGGTTTTTAGGTCCTTTGGTGAGCAAGGGCGATCCTTCAACCTCTGCCATCACCATGACAACGATGACATCTCGCTCCGTCAACAACGAGAAGGAAACGACTCCACCGAAAGACATGATCGTTAAGAACGGTCTGGCCATCACCTTCAGCTCCAACCTGTAAACAAGAACAAAGAAAACCGATCGACAGAATAACTAACGAACGTTTTTTTTTATCAAATTTATTTTTATTATTGTTATTTTTTTTATATATATATATAATTTGATGTTGTAACAAAACTGTATATTGCCGCTTCGACTAGGTTTTTCTTTTCGCACATTGATGTAACCATCAACTGATTGAATCGACAGAATTGACCTGTACATAAATATTAACGTGTCTTGGAACGAAACGAAGATCTATTTGGAAGAAATTTGCAGGGTAATTAACTTTAAAAAAAAAAAAATTATTAAACAAAACAGTATCTTTAATAGCTGTGTATAGACTTATAAACTTGATGTTATGTAATATACTATATGATGATGTATACTTAAGAAGTTAAGTAGATTTTGATGTGAGATGCGACTGGTGTTGGAGAGATCGGCGAGTTTCCATCAACTGAGCCCTTTTGGAAACTCCACCCATCTCTCATTTAATTAACATCAATATCTCTCTCTTTCTCTCTCTCTCTTTATATATTTGTATATCTCTCAGCAGGTTCTATCCTTTATTGTATATAGTATATAATTATATAATGTGTACAAGAGTTATAAGTAACGATCAATACGTATCGCCTTTCTCCCTCCTCGTTTCATCCATCGTTTCCTACGTTTCTTCCTTTTTGATTATGTAGATATGAACTGTGATATTAACATTTATAATTACCATTGAACAAATAATTATATAAACTTTAATATGTATATAATCACGATTTTATGTCTAACGTAGCGGATATATAATTAATTAATTAATTAACTAACATATATGCACTATCTATTATTATTATTATTACGTAACTATATATTATAAATATGCATATACAGATATATAATAAATAAACATAAATTTTAATTATACAAACTGATGATGATCGTAATGATGTTATTAATGTAAACTGAACATGATATAAGCGTAAATAAACTAACAATATATGTGTCAATTAGCCCTACTTTTTAATACCCTTTTTTCATGACACAATAATCCTTCATCTTTCACAAAAAAATCATAAATTACACAATCCATTACCCCTACAAATCACAGTGATATATGCAACCCAACTAACATTTTGTTATCTTAACTTGTATAATCATCATTAAATGGTTGCCTGTATCACAAAAATCTGTTATAAAAGGTCGTTGGTTCGATTACCAAAAAAAACAAAATTTGTGGGGGGCTAATAAACCCAAAAGGGGTAGAAATTGATAGAAATGTCTTAAAAAAAACACATTATCCTGTGTATAATTTCATCAGCTTCATTCATTGTACTTTAGAGTTTGAATAATCCTAAACAAAACAAAACTATCCTAAAACCCCAATTCTCTAACTTTTGAAGGTGAATATACGCAACCAATCTAACGCGTTATAAATTTATATAATCACAATTCCTCAAGCTTTGATTGTTACACAAATATATGCAACTAATTTAACAATATTTTTTACGTTATATAATAAATTTTCCAATAAGATTTGATGAATGAAAAACAAAAACCAATATAAATTTCTATATTTTTAATTAAAACCTGTTAATTATTATATTTAACACGTGATCATTAGTAATTTTTCAAATAAATTCAAATAATTAATTTCCAATCGAACATTGGGCTGCATAAATATAAAATAAAGAAAAATCTACATATTTCGGTTACTAATTCATATAACACAATGATACTTATCTAGAAAATGCTAGTTTTCAAGTTATTAAATACAATTTAAAATAACTTTTAAGAATTTGATCGAAAAATTTGTTAATTAGACAAATAATTAAAGAAATCAGTAAATCTTATTACTATTAAATAATAAAACTGAAATAAAATTTATTAAAGATTATAACAAGTGAAAAGTTTAATTGTTTTGAAGATAATCTGAGAATAATTGAAGATAAAGTAAAGAGAAAGTATATTTAGTTGCATACATTTCTGGTTTAATTCTGACTAATATTTCTATATTCAGTTTAAAATGTTAAATTATTTAACAATTTTAAGTTATTGATCAATAATATGCACCTAGTTGTATAATTATTTTTTATATTAATTAAACTAAAAAAACTCAAATTTAATTATTATAGAAATATTTTATAAATTATTGGAAAATTAAAAATAAAAAGTATTAAAGGAAAAAAAAGTAATTTTATTATGAAAATTCATGTATGAAAATTTTAAATTTAATCATTTATAAGCTGTTAGTTTAGTTGCATATGTAGTATTTAAAGTTGCCTAACAGATTATCTACATATTTTCAATTCTACCCTTAAATAGTTGTAATTGATGTGATTGTTTCTTTTTAAATATGTAAAAATATTGCTTTGATATTATATTATGAAGTTTACACATTACTTGATACTTGGCAAAGTACTTGCAAAAGTACTTGAAGATTAGTTACATGTACAATTCACAGAATACAATATTTGTAAAGTAATTGAGCTTTGATATAATATTACGAAGTTTACACATTACTTGATACTTGGCAAAGTACTTGCAAAAGTACTTGTAGATTAGTTACATATACAATTCAAAGAATGCAATATTTGCAAAGTAATTGAGCTTTGATATAATATTACGAAGTTTACACATTACTAGATACTTGGCAAAGTACTTGCAAAAGTAATTGTAGATTAGTTACATATACAATTCACAGAATGCAATATTTGCAAAGTAATTGAGCTTTGATATAATATTACGAAGTTTACACATTACTTGATACTTGGCAAAGTACTTGAAAAAGTACTTGTAGATTAGTTACATATTCAATTCACAGAATGCAATAATTGCAAAGTAATTCAGCTTTGATATAATATTACGAAGTTTACACATTACTTGATACTTGGAAAAGTACTTGTAGATCAGTTACATGTACCATTCACAGAATGCACTATTTGCAAAGTAATTAAACAAATGCTTAGGAAGAGTAATAAATCAAAGAACTATTGTTTGAATATATTAATTGTTAAAAAAATAAAAATGTTTCATTTTTTAGATATTTTTGATTGATGTATTTAGTTAAGTTTTCGAGGTAAAAGCAATCATTTGGTTGCAATGATCAATGATTATATAATACAATTGTATTGGATTTTGTTTTCATTTTTATTCATTCAACAAAATTTTCGTTTTATTTTTTGTTTTCTATACATTTCTTACATGAATATAGAAATGTTTGGAAATATACCATTATTATTGTATAATATAATTGTTTCGTTATTGTATAGATTTTTTTTTCATTCAGTAATTTGTCTCCCTTTACAATTCTTACATAAATTCTCACACATAATTTCGCGTACAGTTTTACAAACTCGTATACATCGCATGACATCACTCAATGCACACGTGGTTTATGTAATTGGTAAGTATCGTAAATACATTTTTCATCTCTGCTCCACTACTAAGTAAGTACATTTTAGAGCATCCTCGAGGCTCGTGTATTATTAAGTAAATTACGGTTTGAAACGTATTGACTAACATTTAAGAGGTCTGCTCTCTGCCTCTCTTCTGCATGCATTCATGTGGACTGTAAACTTCGAGGAAAACTCTTCAGCTGCTCTCCTCGATCGACGTCAATGGAAGAACACCTTTATTATTATCGCTGCGAGGAGAAACCCCTTCGCCCCACCGCATCTTTCATCAGATGAGATGTAACTTGCACCTGTGGTCCAGACGGACAAAAAAAGGGCCATCCTTTATCCTCCGGAGGGAACAGCTGACGATTTTTTTAGAGGTACCTGCAGAGACGCGTGGCCAAATGTTCTCTTTTCTTAGGTAAAGCAATGCGTTTAAGAAATTTTAACAATTTATTACAAAAGAACGGTAAACATCACAAATCTGATTGTAATCGCATTGTAAAGACCATAGTTTTATCTTTATTTTGGATATTCGTTTATGTAATTGGTGAACGTAGTTATCGAATAATTAGATAAAACGTTAACACATGACAATAATAATAAAAAAAATGTTAAATCTCAGTTAATCATTAACATTATACAACAATTATCATATCAAAAGATGCGTAATTAAAAAACACCTCTTATTTAACCATAATATATATATTTTTTTAAATTATTTTCGATAACATTCAAAATTGAGACGCGTGGCCAAACGCCCTTTTTATTATGTAAAGCAATGCATTTGATGAATTTTAACAATTGATTACAGAAGAACGGTATACATCACAAATCTGACTATAATCTCATTGGAAAGACCATAGTTTTATCTTTAATTTGGATATTCGTTTATGTAATTGGTAAATGTGGTTATCGAATAATTAGGTAAAACATCATGACATATCAGTAATAACGAAAAATGGTTATATCTCAGTTATTAATTAACTTTATATAACAATTGTCTCATCAAAAGATGTTTAACTAAAGAACACTTCTTATATAACCATAATATATTAATTTTTTATTAAATTATTTTCGATTTATTGAATAACAATAAAAATAGAGACGTGTGGTCAAAAGCCACTTTTCTTATATAAAGCAATGTATTTGATGAAATTTAACAATTGATTACAGAAGAACAGTATACATCACAAATCTGAATATAATCTTATTAGAAAGACCATAGTTTTATCTTTAATTTGGATATTCGCTTATGTAATTAGTATACGTGGTTATCGAATAATTAGATAAAACATCAAGACATGGCAGTAATAACGAAAATTTGTTATATCTCAGTTATTAGTTAATATTATATAACAATTGTCTCATAAAAAGATGCATAAGTGATGAGCACTTCTTAAATAATCATAATATATTAATTTTTTATTAAATTATTTTCGATTTATAGAATAACATTAAAAATAGAAACGCGTGGCCAAACGCCCCTTATCTTATGTAAAGCAATGCGTTTAGAAATTTTGACAATTGATTACAGAAGAACGGTAAACATCACAAATCTGATTATAATCTCATTGTAAAGACCATAGTTTTGTCTTTAATTTGGATATTCGCTTATGTAATTGGTAAACGTGGTTATCGAATAATTATATAAAACATCAAGACATGACAGTAATAACGAAACATTGTTTTATCTCAATTACTAATTAACATTTTATAACAATTATCATATCAAAAGATGCGTAATTAAAGAGCACTTCTTATGTAACCAAAATGTATTTTTTTATAAATAATTTTCGATTAATTCAATAAAAATATTTTGTTAAAAAAATACACTTTTTTTTGTAACTTTCTATAAGATTTATGGAGTAAATATTGGATGTAACATGGACAGATTGGAGCCGTTATAGATTCGTACTGATGCTGGTGCTGTTTACGAGCAGTAAACGCTGTGGCGCCAATTGATGTTGTTGCAGATCCTGCAATTGCTTGTGGCGTCATTACGTAAATGGATTCTGTGCGAGGATCGTTGCATGTGCACTGCACTCCTCGCTGCAAATATGGAAGCTTGATTACTTCATCATTTATATAAACAAATGATAACTTCAATATAACCTACGTACTTTCATTTTATTATTTTTTTTCAATTCCTAATAATATTTTTTTTTTCTGAAACAAAATTATTCAATCTAAATTTACCATTTTAATATATTTATTATCATTAAAATAATAGAATTTTTTTTTTTATTATATTCCAATAATTAAAAAAAGTGTTTATTGACATAATAAGTGTGACATCTACATTATTAATTTATAAATAATTTTCTAAAAATTGACATAAATTAATGACATTTCTGTCACTCTCTCTTAATTGTTTTAACTTGTTAATTATCTAATATATCGTTATAAAATTGACATCA